CTCAAGATACGATCTCAGAATCCTGTTAAAGGTGGCACCAGGAGAGTCTTATCACCTTCTTACCAGTTATATGTATGACATGAGGGTAAGTGTAGGCCTGTAGGGTGTTTTCTAACTTTAGGCTGGGTTCCAAGACAGGTCTATAGTGGCCTATGTCCTTCTTCCCCACTTCATAGACTACTTCCTAAGAAGGATCCCATGCTGGAGGATGTATTGCACACAAGAAATCAGAGTTAGGGTTTTAAAATTTTCCTAGCATGCGAAAACATTTTTACTATTTTTTATTAATTGCTTGTAGTAAATATACACATATAATTTAAGAGTAGTTATGTATTTTCTTTTTTTTTTTAAGATTTTATTTATTTGACAGAGAGCAAGAGCAGGAACACAAGCAGGGGGAGAGGGAGAGGGAGAAGCAGGCTTCCTGCCAAGCAGGGAGCCCGATGTGGGGCTCGATCCCAGGACCCTGGGATCATGACCTGAGCGGAAGGCAGATGCTTAACAACTGAGCCACCCAGGCGCCCCTATGCATTTTCACAAATGTGTAATTATAACACTCTCAAGATAGAGAACACTCCATCATCCCAAAAGAACACAGCCAATAGTGGTATTAACAGAAAAATATGTTTACTATACAAATTAGACTTTATATGAATAAAATTTAGAAAAGGGGAGTAGCACTTCAGAGAACATTGTCAACCATAACAATCTACATCTGTGGATACCTGAGGGCTTGCAGGAAAATTTAAACCCATGGTGGATCTTTGATGTAGAACTCTGGAGACAAGTGTGAAGCCTACTGCTCAGATCAAATGGAAGTCAAGCAGTTGGTGGTGGTTTTCAGATTATTCTTGATTGCCAGGGGAAAAAATGAGGAAAACAGGCTGGGAGCACGTGTCTGTGAAGGTGTATGCTTCTACCTACCTCTCTACAGGTGGCTGAGAAATGTGCCTAATCCTATTTCATTTCTGTATTACAAGTTTCATATAAATTAGGCCTTGGTGAATTCTAACATGAAACCATAAATGCAACAGATTCTAGGAACAGTAGTTCACATTACTGACTTCAACATTAACAGCACCAAGGAGGGTCATCTCCAACTCTAGATTTATTGTTCTATCTCACACAGGCCTCTGTTCTTAATGTAACTCTATACTCCAAATTCCAGCCATAACCAATGACAAAGAACAAAGGACAAAAGAAGAAAATAATAATTCACATGAGAGTATACTGTATGATGAACTTTGCATACTCACAACTATATGGCAACTATTTAGGAAAACAGAATAGGGCTCTTCCGGCCAATGAGAAGGGAACTTTCTGATAATAAAGAAATGCAGAATATAGAAATAATAGCTAAAGCATATTGAGTACTTGCCCCACAGGACACCAGGGAAAGGAAAATAGGAAACTATTACTTTTCAACATTCCTTATAGAATTTTAAATACAAAAATTAAACTTACTTGCATATTAGAAATACACTTCAATTACCCATGGATCCAACAGACTTCAAAATAAGAATACAAAAATGTTACTAAGGAAAAATTTACTTTCTAAACTTAGGAACTCTCACTTTAAAAGTACCTACATAATTATCTCACTTCAATATCTGCTTGCAAAAGTAAGTGGAAGTCCATGGTACAGAGAATTACTTTAAGAATGAATACGTGATAAAGACCATATAACATTTATTACATTTCTTTAATGTTGTGGATTTTCAGAAGTATTCTACATGAATTCATGTTCACAAAGCTTACCCATATTACTTATTTCTTTCCCATATAATTTTCACACTACCTTGAAAATATCTGTAAAATTATAGAGTTTTTATTTTTTAGTTCTATAGTATGAATTCAGTGAATAATCTAACCTGGTTTTTCCATGATGTGGGACAAATGGAAGATTTCCTACATTGTTTACGACCAATGGAATTCTCTCCACTGCCTTTTTGGTAAGTTCTGAAGAAAACAGGCTTTCCTACATTCCGTACATTTCTGCAATTTCTCTCCAGCATGCATGAAAGACTATACAACAAATGACAGCTTTCTTACATTCCTTATTTTCACAGACTTTCTTTCACATATGAGTTCTTTCATGATTTCGTAAAGAATTAACAAGACTGAAGGCTTTACAACAAGTTTTACATTGATAAGGTTTCTCTCCAGTGTGAGTTCTTTCATGCGTTCGTAATGAACTGGGAGAAATAAATGCTTTCTTACATTTCTTACATTTATAAGGTCCATCTCCAGTGTGGATTACCATGTGTGATCGAACACCTGAGCGAAAAATGAAGCCTTTCCCACATTCCTTACATTCATAAGGCTTTTCTCCAGTGTGAGTTCTTTCATGTTTTTGAACATAATAGTGACTGCTGAAGGCCTTACCACATAGTTTACATTCATAGCGTTTGTCATCAGTATGAGATCTCTCATGTTTGCGTAAGTTACTTGAATATCTGAAGACTTTACCACATTTTGTACATTCATAGGGTTTTTCTGCACTATGTGTCTTTTCGTGTATTCTAAAGGACTGGGGACAACTGAAAGCTTTTCCACATTGCTTACATTCATATGGTTTGACTCCGGTGTGAGTTCTTTCATGAATTCGAAAGTAATTGGGACAACTGAAAGCTTTCCCACATTCCTTACACTTATAAGGTTTCTCCCCAGTATGAGTTCTTTCATGATTTCGAAGGGAACTGGGATAACGGAAAGCTTTACCACATTCCTTACATGCATGAGGCTTCCTTGCAGTATGAATTTTTCTGTGTTTTCCAAGGGACCTAAGAGAACTGAAAGCTTTACCACATTCCTTACATTCATAGGGCTTTACTCCACTGTGTGTCATTTCATGACTACGACAGTTTTTGGGACACCTGAAGCCTTTCCCACACTCCTTACATTTATAAAGTCCATCTCCGCTTTGCTTGATCATGTATCTTCGAAATTTGGTAAGAGAATGCAAGGCTTTCCCACCTTCCTTACATTCATAGGGTTTCTCCCCATTATGACTTCTCTCATGTTTATGTAAATTACTTGAATAACTGAAGGTTTTACCACATTTTGTACATTCCTTAGGCTTTTTGGCACTGTGTATCCTTTCGTGTATTCGAAAGGACCTGAGACAACTGAAAGTTTTACCGCATTGCTTACATTCACTAGGTTTCTCTCCAATATGAGTCCTTTCGTGTTTACGTAAGTTGCTTGAATAACTAAAGGTTTTACTACATTTTGTACACTTGTAGGGCTTTTCCCCACTGTGTGCCCTTTCATGAATTTGAAAGTAATTGTGACAAATGAAAGCTTTCCCACAGTGTTTACATTCATAGGGCCTCTGTCCAGTGTGTGTCCTTTCATGCATTCGAATGGATTGGCAATGCTTGAAGGATTTCCCACATTCCTTACATTTATAAGGCTTCTCTTCACATTCCTGATACTCATATGGTTTGTGGCCAGTGTGAGATCTCATGTGCTTGTTAAAGGATGAATGATACATGAAGACTTGTCCACACAAAGTACATTTACGTAGTTTTATTCCAGTAGGACTTTTCTTCTTCTGATTATGATATGGAATCTGGCTGAAGATTTCTTCACACTGACTACATTCTTTACTTTTACAGAGTCTTTCTACCATTTGACTGCTGTAAAAAATGGGAAGCATATTAATAGCCTTGTTATTAATGATCTTATATTTATTAATTATGACAGTGACTTTTTTACCATCTTCAAGGAAAATGTAGGTTTTCTGCATATTTTGATTGTTTGAAAATGAACATACTGACAGCTTTGCAACAGGGCTCCATCTTAGCTATTATCAAAACAGTAATATTCATAAATGCTATTTCTACATGCAGTTTCCAGATATACTGTTTTTCAGAAACTGTACATCTCAGTCACATGTGAGAAAAAATTTTTGGTGAAAATATCCTAAGGATCAATGAATTTAAAGCTGGGCTGATTTATTTGCTTGTTGTTTTTTTTTAAGATTTTTAAAAAATTTATTTGACAGAGACAGTGACAGTGAGAGAGGGAACACAAGCAGGGGGAGTAGGAGAGGGAGAAGCAGGCAACCCACCGAGCAGGGAGCCCGACATGGGGCTTGATCCCAGGACCCTGGGATCATGACCTGAGCTGATGGCAGACGCCTAATGACTGAGCCACCCAGGTGCCCCTATTTGCTTGTTTTTAAAATTTCGTGACATCTCTAGATTCTCTAATGAAACCTTGTTTTCTCATGCGAATGCTACTCACCTTAGATCTGTCCCACGATTTTCATTCTGATCTTCCCTGTCATGGATTTCCCATTTTTCTTCTGAAATACACACTAGGAAAAAGCAGTATAAATTATAAAAATTTATAGAAAAATTGTTAGAGTTCTAGGTCCATGATGAGTTGTGACCATGGCAGGTTTATTAATGAAAATATTCCCTTTCCATTTTTTTCTCTTGAAATAGCAAGTTACACTGGATCTCTAATTGATTTAGTAAGTAAGAATGTCGTCATCCCTACCTATTGAGGCCAGGTTCCTGAAGGTTTCCTGCATCACATCTCTGTAGAGTTTCTTCTGGGATGGATCCAGGAGAGCCCACTCCTCCATGGTGAACTTTACAGTCACATCCTCAAAGGCCACTGAGTCCTAAATAATCCCATATATGTATATAGGATGGGTGAGATGGACCACTGAAGATCTATACTCAATTTATAAGTAGTTCACATACGATTTCCAGAGCCTAAGTAACCTGGGTAGACAAAGGTATTTCTTTCCTTCCTGTTCCAAAGGTGGGGCATTGTAAGGATGATAGGGTTTTCTCACTCCTGACACCAAATATGTGGTATTTGTTCCAAAGCCACTTCTCCAATTCTGTGTCACCAAAAAGGTGTCCAACAGTTCAATTCTAACATAAACTACCCAGAATTTAAGTCAGATTCACAGTTTAAGAAGTCAGTCCCAACACCGCCCCTATTTGTGATACCATCTACAAATGGGGAGCCAAGTTTACTATTTCGACAGCCAACTACCAATTCAGATTCCCTCCACACTCTGTCTTGTTTGTTAATTTACTGAAATGATTTTGAGAAACTTAGCAAAATGCTGTATTTACCATTACCAGTTTACTGTAAAGCATACAACGCAGGAACAGAGAAAAGTTGCAATGCACAGGACAAGTTAAGTTAGTGGTATGGGTAAGGTAATAGAGAAGGGGTTGTGCAGAGCTCCTACCTCACTATGGACACACCAACCTCCCAGCACCTGGATGGATTCACCAATGCACAAACTGTCAGAATCCTGTCTTTAAGAATTCTGATGGAGGTTTCATTACATGGACACAATTTATTAAATCATCGGCCATTGGTGATTAACTCAGTTTCCAGCCCCTGTCCTATACCCAGAAGCTGGGAGCTGCAGCTCAACATTCTAAACATTTAATCAAAGCTTGCTATTTCAGGGGGCACCTGGGTGGCTCAGTTGGTTAAGCGTCTGCCTTTGGCTCAGGTCATGATCCCAGGGTCCTGGGATCTAGCCCCACTCAGGCTCCCTGCTCAGCGGGGAGTCTGCTTCTCCCTCTCCCTCTGCCCCTCCCCCTCATCCTCCTCTCTCTCTCTCCCTCTCAAATAAATAAATAAATAAATAAGTCTTAAAAAAAAAAAAACTTGCTATTTCAGGTATCCAAAACCCCATCATAAAAGCTACCTAGTAAGTGGCCAAGAGTTGCCTCATTAAACAAAACACACTCTTTCACCATTAACACTCAAGTAATCTCAAGGATTCAAAAGGATTTTGCTAGGAACTGAGGACACTTACTATATATCTTTCTCATCATATCACAGTAGGTCAAGCCCAGGGACAAGGGCCCACTAAAAGATTGAGAGCAAATCACTGAGGTAAGAGAATACCTCCCCACTGACCCCACATACCTCTACATCAACTGGGATGTTATTTAATATAAGTGCACTATTCTGAAAAAACTACATGCTTTCTGGTAACCTTAGGATGAAGGCAAGAATGTCCCCTTTTACTACACTTAGATGACATTATACTGGAATTCTTAGCTAATGCATTCCGACAAGGGGAATAAAAGGTAAATAATGAAAAATCAAAGGTATACATTTGGGGAAGCAAGAAATAAAACTGTCTTTGGGGGCGCCTGGGTGGCTCAGTCATTAAGCATCTGCCTTCAGCTCAGGTCATGATCCCAGGATCCGGGGATCGAGCCCTGCATCGGGCTCCCTGCTTAGCGGGAAGCCTGCTTCTCTCTCTCCCACTCCCCCTGCTTGTGTTCCTGCTCTCACTGTGTCTGTCTCTGTCAAATAAATAAATAAAATCTTTTTAAAAAAATAAAAAAAATAAAACTGTCTTTGTATCATGACAAGATTGTCAATTGAGAAAATGTCAAAAAAATCCCAAATAACAAAGAAAACCCCGTGAACCAAGAGGTAAAAAAAAAAGATAAAAAGCTAGGGGAGCCTGGGTGGCTCAGTTGGCTGAGTGTCCATCCAACTCTTGGTTTCGGCTCAGGTTGTGATCACAGGGTCATGGGATCAGGCCCGTGGGGCTCCACTCTCAGCAGGGAGCCTGCTTTTCTCCCTCTACCCCTCCCCTCCCCTTGCTTGCACTCTCTCTCTCTAAAATAAATAAATCTCTCTAAAAAATAAATTTAAAAAGTTAAGGGGCACCTGGGTGGCTCAGTCAGTTAGGTGTCTGGCTTCAGCTCGGGTCATGATCCCAGGGTCCTGGGACCAAGCCCCACATCAGGTCCCCCACTCAGCAGGAAGTCGGCTTCTCCTTTTCCCTCTGCCCTTCCCCCCACTTGTGCTCTCTCATGTGTGGATTCTCTCAAATAAATAAATAAATAAAGTTAATACTGGGGTGCCTGGCTGGCTCAGTTAGTAGAGTGTGCAACACTTGATCTTAGGGTAGTGAGTTCAAGCCCCACATTGGGCATGGGGCCTACTTCAAAAAATTAAAAATAAATATGTAAAAAGTTGGGGTGCCTGGGTGGCTCAGTTGGTTAAATGTCTGCCTTTGGCTCAGGTCATGATCCCAGGGTCCTGGGATGAAGCCCCGCATCAGGCTCTTTGCTCACTGGAGAGCCTGCTTTTCCCTCTCCCTCTGCCTGCCGCTCCCCCTGTGCTCTCTCTCTCTCTCTCTGTCAAATGGATAAATAAAATCTTAAAAAATATATATATGTATAAAGTTAATACTGAAAAGGCAATTGCTTTCCTACAGATCTACACAAATATAGTGAACTCATCTTTGACAAAGAACCAAAGGTAACTCAATGGAAACAGTCTTTTCAACAAATAATGTCAAAAAGCTGGACATCCACATGCAAAAAAAGTTTTAAATCTACAGACTTTACACCTTTCACAAAAATTAACTCAAATTTGATCACAGATCTTAGTGTAGACTGTATAATTTCAACACTCCTAAAAGATAAAATAGGAGAAAATCCTTGTGATATGGTATTCGATGATTAATTTCTTTAAAAAATGAAAAAAGTTTTCATTACAATGAAAAACTACTCAGTGAAACAGAAGTTAACAGAATGAAAACACAAGCCATAGTCTGGTAGAAAATCTTTTGAAATCACTTATCTGATAAAGGACTGGTATTGAACACAAGCAAAATACTCTTAAAATGTAACAAAAAGAAACAATCCAAATAAAGATGGGAAAATATCTGAACGCGTACCTCATCAGTGATATAGATGGTAAATAAGCACATGAAAACAATTTCAAAATCATATCTCATTAGGAAATTGCACATAAAAAGAACAATGAGATGTCACCAGTTGCTTATTAGAATGGCTAAACATCACGAGAACATCAAACCTTCATTGCTGGTGGAAACGGAAAATGGTATACCTACTTTGGAAGAAAGGCAGTTTCTTAACACTAAGGCTACATTTACCATACAATGCAATTATGTGTTTCAAATGTACACAAATGAATTTTAAACTTATGTTCATAAAAATCCTACATGTGAATGTTTATAGGAGCTTTATGCACACTTGTCATGACTTACATGGAACCAAGATAATTTCAATAGGCAAACTGATAAAAAAAAAAATCACTGGTATATCCACTGGATGAAATATTCTACAGTGATGAAAGAAATGAGGTTATCAAGCGAAAAGACATGAGAACATTTTTTTTTTAAAGATTTTATTTATTTAATTGACAGAGAGAGAGAGAGACAGAGAGAGAGGGAATACAAGCAGGGGGAGTGGGAGAGGGAGAAGCAGGCTTCCCGCCAAGCAGGGAGCCCGATGCGGGTCTTGATCCCAGGACCCTGGGACCATGACCTGAGCCGAAGGCAGTCGCTTAACCAACTGAGCCACCCAGGCGCCCCGACATGAGAACATTTTAAAATCATATTCTTTTTTTTAAGATTTTATTTATTGAATTGACAGAGAGAGAGAGAGAGACAGCGTGAGAAGGAACACAAGCAGGGGGAGTGGGAGAGGGAGAAGCAGGCTTCCAGCCGAGCAGGGAGCCCAATGCGGGGCTCTATCCCAGGACCCCGGGATCATGACCTGAGCCGAAGGCAATCGCTTAACCAACTGAGCCACCCAGGTGCCCCTTTAAAATCATATTCTAGGTGAAAGAAGACAATATAACAAGTCTACACAC